GAACAGGTTGATCCTGAGAGCTAACAGTGTGAGTATGTGTAGACAACACTGATAATGTGTAGCTAGTAGCTTTCCTGCATGATATGTTAGACTTCTACTGCTTATAATCTCTGATACTATAACAGAGTGTTTTAGCCAAAAATTTACCAAAGGGGGAGTTTGTAGATGCTCTTGATTGGCTGCATTTTATGGCAAAACATTGTTGTATGAATGAATGGCACAACTGATGTTATGACATACATGAAGAGTGTTTTACAGGGAGAGCTAAGAGTAAGTGAAGCTGAATGTCATGGCCGGATGTTGTGACATCAAGCGTATGACATCAGGACGTGCATGGTTTGTTTTTCTGTTATTAACTCAAGCTATACTTCAGGAAACAATCCAGGAAGCATAGTTATTTTAGGAGACATAACAGGTACTGCTGAGGATAACATAGAAGACTCTTGACCTAATGATAAGTGTGCAGCTTCATGAAGAGAGGTTTATCTTGGGTAAACCTAGGTTCTCCATCAAGGCCCAAAGCAAGTTTGTTGCTATAAATAACAGAATGATCATTCCTAATAGTGTAGAGCTTCTGGAGAGAGACTGGAGAGTGTGTCTTGTGAGTGAAGAGGTTGTTCTTCACGTGGTTTGTGTGAGTGAAGAATTTTGGCTCTTCACGTGTGTCTTAGGATACTTGTATGCCAAGCAATTGTCAGTTGTATAATTGCTTTGGTTTAGTGTGTATGAACTATTGTGTTCATTGTGCCACTCAAAGCTTTTAAGCAAGAGGGCTGTGTCACTTGATCAAAGTTGTGAAGCAAGATCAAGGTGTGTGTTTGAAGTGTGTCTTTATATCTTATTTGTGAATTGGTTTATATCACTGAGGTAATTGAGGGGGAGTGAGTGGGAAACTCTAGTCTAGTGGTCTCTAGGCTGAAGTGTCATTGGGTAGGTCTTAAGTGAAGAGTGAAAACGGGTTGTTTGACTCCAAATTAATTCTACTAATAGTGAATTTCCTCCCTGCCTTGGTAGCCCCCAGATGTAGGTGTGGTTGACACTGAACTGGGTGAACAATTACTTGGGTTATTTACTGCTTTCCATTTACAGCTTATTAGCAAGTCCAGTAGTCTATGTTACATTGGATGTCATAACATCCGTGATAACATCCATTGTGTGCTTGCCATAATTTCACCAACCGTTGTTGTATATGTTTTCCGTAGTAATGTAGGATCCACAGTGGTTTCAGGTCGAAGGGCGGTATGCACTACTATTACCATGAGAGTAACTTATGACACTTTGAATAACATTCTATATAGTACTCTTATAGTAGGTCAATCCAGTATTAATATTACTCCTAATATTCATACCTATGTTAAAACTTCATAACTCTTTATCCATGATTCATGAGATGTGATCATCAGTCTATCTACATAATAGTCTTAATGCTTTAAGGTTATCCCACTTCACAGTAAAGCTCGACTACGGATGCTTTAAGCATAATGTCCTTGTGTTTAATAGAATCTCATGATTAATTCACACTTAATATTTCATTAAAAAGACTACCTATTCTAGGGACTTTATTATTTTGGAAAAACAAACATAATAAATAAATATCTTTTATTAATAAATAATTCGATACAAGTACCAAAAGTATTGGCCTATAGGGCTTACATCAACATTATGAAGGTTTTGTGTCGATGTTGTGTCGATTTATGTTAGTCATCACATGGACAAAACCTACAAACTTTAATATTAAGGCATGGGTATCGACCTAAAGGTGTTATGTGTCGACCTATGCTAAATTGAAAACTTCTATAGGCCGACCTAAAGTCGTATGTGTCAATCTATGATGTGCTTTCACAAAAACTTTGTTTTCAATGCATTTATGATATATGAACCTTTTTAAAAATGTTTTAATGCTTTTTAATGCTAAGATGCACATATAAAGTCAGAGAAAATTGTCCAATATACATTAACGCTAAATTATCCAAATTTTGACATCATTCAAAATACATTTAACGAAAGTTCCACTCACACGTTTCTCCCTTATAAAATACATTATAATTTTTTTTTATTTTTTTAATTTAATATCTAACTGTTAGCTGAGATTTCAAAACATATTAATGTCGGAAATAAGTTATGAAATTCAAAGATATATTATGAAGAAGAATATGATGATTTCAACAATAAATAATGATAAGAACATTTCGACGCACATGAAGATTTGAAATGAGCTATTAGAGTTTGAAGAATTAGTCTGAGAAGAAATATTGTCTTCGACAAGAAAATATTGAAGACCTAGTCGAAAAGACCTGTGCATGAAGGATGTTATGGTCTAGGACTTAGAAAGATTTTTTGGCCTAGATTAGAGTTCGACGACGCTCATTTGAAGAAGCGCTCGACATGTGCAATTCAAATTTGAGGCTAATAACTATCTTTTGGCCTTATTCGTTTTCAAGACATGTGGAGAGCTTTGAAGCGACGAAATGTATGCAGATTGGAAACGTGGCGCTATCTGGAGAAAAAACCATTAAATAGTGGTTATTTTAGATTTAGTATAAATAAGGTCTTAGTAGTTAGGATTCAGGATGTTCAACTTATACAAAAACTCTAAATTTACTCTAAGTACCTGTGTGTGAGAAAAGAGTGTTCTTGAGTGAAAATATACGTATGAACATCATATTTTACACTTTTTACTAGATTATTTAAGTTTTTTATTGTAATTTACATTTGATGCAATTTAAGATCTTTTCATTTACCTTAAATCCTTTACTTTTATGCATTTCCTTGAAGAATTACAACACTTTACTAACAAGCTTAAGAATATTGTCGAAATATTAATGATTAATAAACCCAAAAACTAAATAACAACACATATTTTAGGGTCAATCTAGTCGATCTTATAAGTAACCAAAAATTTAATAATTTTAAAAAACTAGCGATTGTTTATCGATTTCGACTGTAAACACTAACTCGACATAAAACTATATGCACTAATGAACTTTACATACAATAAATAAATTAAAGGTAAATAAATTAAAATTTGATCAGGATTAAAGTCATAAAATGAGAGCATATTTATTAATCAATCCTATTTTGTTAACAACTATCCTTTGATATTTATAAATTAAAATTAGATATCAGTACTTTGATATAAATTGTTTTAAAAATTTTAAATTATTTTAAAATAAATTAAAAAATGACTTGACGTAAAATTATACTTTAATTGATGCAGGGAATTAATACGCAATTAAATACAAGAGTATCGAAGTATTTATATTTATTATTTTCAAAAATCTTATTTTTTTAATATATTGTTTTCCTTTTAGAAAATATATTCGAAATCAATATTCGCAAGAGACTCCGGTGAGTAATAAAACGTGGAGTCTAGAAAGATCCTACTTCCTTTGAATTAACTGCCATGCCACTGGGTCCACTCAGTCATTCATTCCCCACACAAATCAAATGCATCTCCACCACAACAAACAATCACAAGTAAGTTCATCTTAATTTTCCTTCAAATCACAAGTAGTTATCATTATAATTCTTCGTCTCAAAAAATAAACGAAACCTAGTACTTGCTCTCAAACGATTATGTGTAAGTTATTTTTTAACTTTGATTTCCTTTTCAGGTTTGCTATCAATTTCTGCAATTTTCTTTTATTGTGTATTGTTGCTTGATTAAACACTATATTACCCGAATGATGAATTGAATTGATTATGAAATGATTCGTTTTGAATTGGGATGTACTTTAACCTAGCTCTATTTTCTATCGTTTGTATGTAAAACATATAAAGTGTAGTAATCAGATTTTTTTGTACACAAAAGTTTTATAAACTTGGAATTGTTTTTCTGTTTCTTTATATATTAACGAAATCTTAGGGTGAAATACCATTTTGGTTCCTGAAATTGTATGGTGCTGTTAGGTTTCACTTTTAGTAGGCAAGTATATTCTAGGGAAAATGGCCTCTGCCGAACCATATTGTTGCGCCTCAGTACCTTGTAATCCTTCTAGGCTTGTAATAATGATGGCCAGAAAATGGCCGATCGTGGCCGGAACTGGCCAAGATTACACATAATCAATGGTTTATGATGTTTTTCACAATTTGGCTACAACACACTTCTATTTAAGATTGTGATTGTTGTGGGTGAATGAAATTGCAAAATCGTAAGATTAGATCTAGTTCTTGACAACCTTGGTAATGATAAATGAAGGGGGTTAAAAGTATCAAGTTTGATTACATAATTTTTAGCTTTTCGGTATAGTAGATATATGAATGAAGATGAAAAACTATGATATTTTGTTTTAAAACTTTTAATAATGATAAATTGCTCAATTTAGATTTATATATTTATATTTTAATGATTAATTTAGATCTTTTATAGTTAATGTTCATATTTTATTTAATTATAATAAATAAATAAGTGCATTTGGCTTTTGGAAGGGCCAAAAGCAATTTTAAAGCTGTAGGATTGTTTCTGAACTGATTTAGAGGGGTTTGGTTCTTTTAAAGTAGAATTGATTCTACTAGAAGCTAGGATTTGTAGCTTCCAAGTTTAAACGTGATTTCTACACTGAAATTTATTGTTCAACTCACTTATACATGAATGTATCCAAATATTAATCAATTCTGTTAAACTCAATTATGTTAAAATCAATTCTACCAAACTCAATTCTATTAAAATCAATTATGTCCACCACCATCTAAATCAATTATGTCCACCACCATCTAAACACACACTAAATATATATGTATTGTGACAAATGCCTGTGTTGGAGTCCGAACTTCAAATGCGGAGATTAACTTGACTTTCGTAAGTAATTTTGCGGGGAGTTGTCAACTTAAGAGACTAATTTGATTCACCGATTTGAAATAACTCATTCTTTTTTGGTTAACACTTTTTCTTTTGGAGTTGAACAAGGTTTAGCCGTTTTTTTTTTGGGAGCAGGTTAGCAGTGTATTTGATGCTGGGTTGGCTTAATGTGTGTAGTTTTGTGGCACAATTTTTGTAAACCATGAACTTCCGGTTTCTTGGTGACATCCCTTGGGTTAAACCTCAGAGTAACCCAGATTCAGCGGCTCAATTGGTTCAAACCAAAGTTTTTGTTTCACAAGCCAAACAAGAATCATCTGGTGTTGATCTCAAGTTGTTAGGATGGCCCTTGTCATTCCTTTCATTCTTTCCATGGGCAAATAATGCTGGAGAGAAGTTTCAAAGACCAACTACTATCAATAAAGAGTTGAAGAGACATGCACAAATTCCTGAAAATGTTGCTGGAAAAGGTAATGTGGCTACCCCTTTGCGCTTTAGGCCTTATGTTTGCAAGGTTCCATGGCATACTGGGGTTAGAGCATTTCTTTCTCAGTTGTTCCCTAGATATGGACATTACTGTGGACCAAACTGGTCGAGTGGGAAAGACGGTGGATCTCTTGTTTGGGACAAGCGGCCGATTGATTGGTTAGATTACTGCTGTTATTGCCATGATATAGGGTATGATACTCATGATCAAGCTAAGCTTCTGAAGGCTGATTTAGCCTTTCTTGAATGCCTAGAGAATCGGCATATTATGCGGACTAAAGGAGACCCCAACATTGCTCATCTTTACAAGACAATGTGCATTAATGGTATGCCTTGTAACATATTAATGAAAATGATAATAGTTTCATGCTATGCTGTTATTGGAGATGAGTTTACTATAACCATATTTACCACTGACTTTGTTTTTACTCAATGAATGGCAGGTCTTAAGAATTTTTTAATACCTTACAGAACGAATCTCGTAAGTCTACAACAGTCTGGACAATCATTGATTCAATTTGGATGGGTAAGCAATTTGAGACGAAGAAGTTGGAACTATCAGAAGACATAAAAATTTAGTTAATGGGAACGTAAGACTTATAAATTGTAAATTGCATCTAAGTTTGAAAGGATTTGGCCTTGTAATACTCAATCTTCAATGTTCCATTTTCAAGTGTATGCTCCGTATAATCTTTATGTATATAATAATATAATAATATATAATATATGATGACCCTATCTCGTCTGTGAATTGTAAGTGGCGGCTGTACTCGACACATTCTCTCTTAACAAAGTTACTTTGATATTATCAAATTCTTTAGCTTGTCTCGTTGCTTAATGCATATAGTTTTGCAGGACAATGCATAAAAAAGGTGGGTTGGTGTTTTATATGGAAAAATATATTTATCTTACAATAGAAAAATGTTTTTAAATATGTGAAAAAGCCTATTCTTTATGGGAATTACTTTTTCCACCGAGGTGCCCCCACTAGTGTGATAAAGTCACATGTAGGTGCCCCCACTAGTGTGATAAAGTCACATGTCTTTAAAGTTAGGAGATATATCTTCAAATGCATTTTTTATATACTTTTCAACACAAATTAATTAGGTATTCTATTTTGTCAAAATTTAATTTAAAGATGTATTTTTGTATTACAGATAAAAATGTTAATTGAAGATGTATCTCTATAAAAAATTTAATTTAAAATTTAATTAATAATTAGGGTTGTTTAGAGATGTATTTTTGGATGCATTTGTTTTTTTATATTTGCGTTAAATTCTTCTCTCTTCCTCTTTTTTTTTTTTTTTTTTTTTTTTTTTTTTTTTTTTTTTTTTTTTTTTTTTTTTTTTTTTTTAAAGTCACTCAAAAAAATATTATTTGAACTCTCACATCCATTCAAACTTTTCATCTCAAGCTTCTACCATTAGATCCCTTTTTCATTGACTCAAGCTTCTCTTTCTCATCTATTTGATTTGGTAAGCTTTCAAAATTCTTCCTTTTTGTGTGTTTTGAATGATGCTTTAAGTAACATATGTTGTTTAAGCTACATTAGACAATGGTGCAATCAAAATAGGTAGCTTAAATGGACACGCATTAGCATTTGTTTTGAGGTTTGGGCAGCAATTGCATTTCTGTCATGTCTGGAAAAAATCACGACTTTATCCAAAAATGCATTTTCGAAATCTATCTATTCCCGAAGATGTATCTTCGAATTTGTATCTGGATGAATTTTGGATGAATTTGTGATGTGATTTGTGGTTTTAACGTAGGTGTAACTGCTAAAAACAACCCTGAAAAATTTAGGCTCGACCGTGTGTCCAAAATCACGTTTGTACGACCTGAAAGAGTTGCAAACAGTACCACGAGGCCTTGAGTTGATGATAACTCATTTGATGGTTCACAACCTCGAGGTTGGTAACCATGTGGTTCTACTTCTCGTAGTCGTTTGTCTTAGACCTCTACTTCACGAGGCCATAAGTTCCCAGATGATGAAACATCAACTGAAGTCCAGGAAGAACTCGCTGTTGATAGCCCTTTAAAGAGTTATCCAAGAGACACATTTGACACCTCATTACATCATCTTTATGGAGACCATGCTGCTATACATCTCTAGGAAGGAGAGGTATATTTATTTACTTTTGCATTACATATCTTTTAAACTAATTAAATTCCAACTTATTGTGATATTTTTTTTTACAGAAGCGTCCATGTTTACAATCAGTAAATCACGACAGAAAAATATTGGATTTGGAAAAACCTAGCGCTTATTGGTTAAGGAATGCTATCCATTATTATGGTATTTCCAATTTATGTGTTGGTGCGTACATGGACCATAAACCATGGCATGCATGCGACATTTGCAGAGAAATGACATTCTGAGACATAATCTTTCCACCTTCCTAGAGAAGAGATGATCATCACCCTAGATGACATCTCATGCTTCCTACATCATATGAAAGTGAGAAAAACACAAGAAGGAGGTCAAATAGTGTTAGATTTTTCTTTCTTTTGTGAAAATCTCTTATCAGATTTTGAACACAAAGTCTAAAATCTAAATCAGAGTTAATTGTTTATCAACAGATTAAAATAATTCAGATGTAGGAAGGAAAGAAGGAGAGACACAAACAATTATCCTGGTTCCTCCCATAAATCGAGAGTAGTCAAGTCCCCTTGCACTTTCGAGGAATTTCATTATAATCAAAACTGATTACAATTGCTCAAGCACAAAGCAAGAGACTTATAATGCTCAAATACACAAAAGACTTCTAATTCTAAATCACACAAGCAAGAGACTTCAGATGCTCAAGCACACAAGCAAGAGACATCCTAAACACTAACTTATAGCTAAAATATTGTAAAAAACTACACTTGATATACAATTAATGGTGCAAACAATACAACACAAAAGGAATCTTTAAGACTTATGAATTTCTAAGAATATACAAAGTCTAAAGAAATTTTAAGTTAAACTTGTGCTTTTTGTTTAATAGAGTAACAACTCTTTTATTGTCAATAGTCTGTTTTTTATTTTTTAAGTCTTAAGCTACTTATATAGAGAGAAAAAATTGTCGTTGAAGAGTTTGCACAAGAGAGTATTCGAAAAGCTTGATTCAGAGAGATTGAGATGTTTCTTGATATGGTTAATAGCGTTGAAAGCTCATTTGAAATCCATTTTCTATAAAAGAAATTATATGTTTCATCCCAACTGTCTTTTACTGATTCTTGCTTAAGTCTTTATGTGTTTACAAGAAGATAAAATGTCGTTAGAGTATGATAATGACCTATTAGAGTCTCCTCGATCCATGTGTTTATTGACCTTAGAGTTTGATAGTGACCTATCAGAGTCTTCTTGATTCTTGTGTCTGATTGACTTCAGAGCCTAAGTCTTCAGAGTTTCCAGGTTCTGATCCTTCAGAAATGGAGTCTTCGGAGTTTCCAGGTTCTGATCCTTCAAAAATGGAGTCTTCAGAGGTTGAATTCATTAAGAGACTGAGTCTTCAGAGTCTGATTTTCATCTTCTTTAAATGTACATTATCAGTACATGTACTAAGTTCTCTTAAAAAATTTAGTCTATGGTCCTGCATACTAAACATTTGTTATTATACCCTATTATTATTTAAATATTTTATTATCATCCAAACCTTAGAGATATGGTAAAAACTAATTTTGGTCCAATATCTTTCCGTCAAGAGAAGTTATTGAGCCACGGAAGGCTCGGTCAAGAGGAAGTCAGTGAGTTGCAGGTTACATATTTGGGGGCTGACTTGACTGACGCTGCAAAGGAGGTAGCTGACACCAGAGGTGCCCATGCTAGATTTAAATTTTTGAAAGAACTTTATGTAGACCAGTTGTTGTGAGCTAGGATGTCGATGGTGATGATATGTAGGTTGACTACCATCGTACTTATACATTGAGGCATTACCTCATGTTCCTGGTTGACACGTCCATTTTTGTGGACAAAAGTGCAACTTGCGTCGATGTGGTATAGTCTACCTTAAATACTTCATCGAATTTAATTTTAATAATTTTTTCATGATTATTTTGTTACACTTGTTATTAATATTTTATTTGGACCATTTTCAAGAATGAATTATCTTTCACTTTCCTCGCATCTATAGGTTGAAAATTGTGGCTACCAAGACTAAGGATGGATTAGAAGGGAATGAATGAGTTGTATTTGAGGAGGATCCTTCTGAATACTTCTTAGATGATAGTTTCAATGGGGATATCTTTAATGGCTATTAGTGGTATGTTGATTCATATTCTTTGCGGTAGAAACTTTGGGAGTCGCTTTATGGTAATTAGTAAACTAGATATGTTTACATGCGTAGACTTTTTTTATTTTAGTGGTGTTGACTCAGAGGACATGGTATGTGAATATTAGTTATAACTATCTTGGATTTAATATACATTTATTGTAAAATAATTATCTATACTTAATGCTTGTGTGATAAGTAAGCTGACAGACAAGATGATTGACACTTATGATGTATAATATATATTAGCATTTTCTTATATTCCATCATTAAAGAACTTAAAATTAAAAAAAAAATTAATCAAATTGAATTAGCTTGACGAGATCTTAATAATGATATATTACTATGGTTTTATTATGTAAATGTAAATAATTAAGACAACCACTATTTACCATAATATAAGGAAAACATGGTGTTACACATGACATATAAAATATGTCACTAGTTAACTCACATAATATTCTTTAAGCATAATTGTCTCATTTGAGATTAAAATTTGACTAAAGATACACATTTGTATTAATAATGTCTCATATTTTTAAGTAATATTTAATGTTCTATTAAACAAATTAATTATTTTATGAACTTTATTACTTTGAAATTAATATAATAAAACAATAATTGTATTCTAATTAATTAATATGATGCAATTTTTAAGTTTGAATATAAAATTATTAGTCGTTAAGACCTACACCAACAATTTGTGTGTGCAAGAGGCACACCACTATCCAAAGTAGGTCGTACACAACATTTCAAAATAGGTCATAAAAGCTAATGAGAAAAAACTATCATCGAACTTCAATATGGAAAGACATTTTCCTACTTGCTACCACAAAGTAGGCCTCTACTCGAAAGCGTTAGAACAAACCACGAACCAGCTTCATCAGTCCTTAGGAGATGTTGTTCGGTTTGGGCCTAGTGCCCAACTTGTTTCGCTTCATTACCACATAATAACCACCAGGGACCTGATAAATGGGCTGTCGAATCCATTGAACAACCCAAAAAGATATACAAAAATATTTATAATCTAAGAACAACCCAAAAGACATGAGATCCATATAATAGTATCACTCTAATAATCCAATAGATCGAGGCCAATTATGCTTTCACAGACAATCAGTGTAGACAGGTAAAGTCCAATGACACTGCTCTACTATTGTCAGACCACTTACGTAAGTCCTTAGGAGCAAATATACATTTATCCAAGGGCAGATTAGGGGCACAAGCCCCATTAAGAATTTAATTTGACTTAAAAGTTATGTTATATATTTCAATTTTTCTCCATAATAAAACATTTTTATTTCTTAGATAAGTT